TTCAACCAAAGTACATGCTGGAGCAAGCTGCTTGGTAACTGGCCAAAGAGGTACGTCCTCGCTAGCCGATTCAACGACTGCGAACTTTCGCAGTGAAACGTGAATCATTCTTTGTGCGCAACAAAATATACACAACACAAACCAGATAAGCCGAGTTATGCCGATTTACTGATTCGATCCACATCCTCTTCTGAACAAATGGTGTCAGTTCGGCGCACCCTCGACTACGGTCAGCCGAATAACAGCTTCTTCAACGGCCTTCGGACCAAGCAGATGGAAGGTGCAGCCGGATCTGACGTTCATATCATCAGCTGTCTTGGATCGACGAAAAATATTCTGTCTGAAGACGCGGTGCTACAGCCTTGACTCGTCGCCAAGGTTCGAGGTGTAGTACGGTGTCCAAGATTCAGCACTAGACCGTAGACTCCAAAGTAAAGTTCGCCGTTCATTTTGGCTATTTCTTCTCCCGACCTTCCGTTTGTCAATCATATAAGAAACAGGTTACTTGGCCGGGGAAGGGAAAAGGGCGCTTCACACAACATGCCCAAACAATCGTGTTTGCGATGTTTTAACGGTGAGAGATGGAAGAACCATTCACCCTGAGCAGTTCCCGGATCCTTGAAGGAACTCTGTAACAATGTGCAACATATGCGAGTTTCTCAGAAAAAAAACATTTCCAACGTCTTTATCGCCGCTACTGATGACCGATGACTTCACCGAGGAGACACTGAACGAGGTCGTAAACAAAACCATTAACCGCAGGGGATGGAGTCTTCAAACCCGGCTTAAGCATACTTTAAACCAGAACATATATGTGTTTCCCATGAAACGATATAGCACAACTGCTGTCAGCTAAATGTTCAAAGAAGATTCGTTCTACGTTTTTTGGCAAGATGTCTCGACAATCCACGACCGAGAGAAAAACGCGTTCAAGAAAATAGGGGGTTGGGCTCATGTTCGGTCCGTTGTTCTTCCCTCGTCTGTAACAGATTTGCCTCATATCATACCTGTGGAGCCTTATGTTAATTTCTACTACATATTGTATGTATTTTTGTACACTTTGACATCGTCCCACAGGAATAATTTAATCGCATCAACTGGTCGAATCATGTAATTATCACTCTCACAAAGGCCCGAAAGGCGTTCGACTGTTTAGCACGGCTACCGAAAATGTCATGTTCTCCAATTGTCAGATCCTGTAGTGTTTGCGCTGCATCCTCCATAGTCTGAAACGCAATCCGGCATGCGAAAAAAATGGTACAGAACACTTTCCCGCTTGGAACGTTCAGAAATCAACTTGTCGCTTGGACTTCAAACTCAGTACTCAAGAGTTCGCACAACTTTTCCTCCTGGATTTTTTGTGTTGGTTATCAGACTTGCTACTCACTTATCCAGTGGAGAACGTCGAAGTGCAGCCAGAAGAAGATCTCTCACGTCGCCCAGTCAGCCATGACCACAACAAAATGTAATCTGTCCCCGCTGCTTGCAAGTCAAGAACTTGCTACTCGGCTGGTTGCATCGAAAGAGATTCCCAGCTCAAGAAACCTGACATATAAGACAACGTTTGCAGCTTCTCTTCGTTCGAACCCGGTACCTCCGGGCTTCTAAACCAACTTCTGCAGCACCCAAAATTTTAGAACACTCTAGAACAACCAGAACCACCACTGAGCAAGATAAGATTACTGCTAAGCAGTCACGAATATATTATTATGTGTATGCGGCAGCGCGTAAGGAGTACTAACTCCGGAAAAATCGTTCGTAATGAGCACTAGGTGGTTGATTTAGCTAGTGGTAAATTTCTTGGAACTCCCTACTCTCCTCTCCGTGCCCCTCTCCACGGCAACCGGGAGCAATGAAGCGTGCGATATGCCATGAAACCTAGTTTTGGACGAATTACGCGTTATCTGTTAAAGAACTGCAAATAAAATCAAAATTGCCTAACCCTGTCACTTTTGCCTCATATTACGTAGGCAACGCGTTTATATTAAAACTGCATATTCGCTGCATACGTCCCCTGTTCTGATAGTTACGTTGAGGCACAAACGAATTAAACTTGAGAAACTACTGAAAAACCCATTATACTGGGTAGGGAGCAGAGAAACGCAAATCGACCTGGAC